TCTCAAAATCGAAATACAAAAAAACCCTTACTGCCATCGTCTACCTCCTGCGAAAAAATGATGTTAAGACAATAGCCGATAACAAGCACATGATAGTTAACATAAAAGAAATAGAAAGGACACGTTCTGAGGAATTACAGAAATTGCGAAAACAAGTTGAGGCGTTCGAATATGAAAAACAAGGATGGGCAAGACAGAGTGAGTTAATGGCGAGAAAGATAGATGATCTTCAACAAAAACTCCAAACCGACGACAACTACATCTCCGCCCTTGAAGGCTGTTGTAATAATGCAGGCTTCCCAGTAGCTGCAGTTAAACAAGCAGCACTGAGTAAATTGCAAAATCAAGAGACAACCAATGATAACAATGATGATGAAGACGACGAAGATAATGTTGCCGCACTAGAGAGTCAAAGACCAAAACAAATTCATAACCAAACGCCCGCTCAAAGCCGCGAATCAAATCAGCGAAGCCCCGTTCAAACAAGAAACAGATCGAGTGATGCGCCTTCGAAACCGACAAAAGTTGCCGTTTTCAAAACCATCACGAATGCAAACGATGAAATAACCACGATCAGCCGCCCATTAACGTGCGACGAATGTTGTAAACACAAACAAGTCGTAGGTATGATGCCCAATAAGGGACCGTTCGAACCATACTGGGAAACTTTGATGCTACAGGCCACGGTTTACAAACTTGAAGTCAGAGATGTATGGCAAATCGCACTACTGACCATCCCAGAGGAACTCAGACCAAAATTGACCGCTGAGATGAAAACTGGGAACGTCATAAAACGTAATAACGGGGAAACCGACGAAGCCATATACGAGCGATTAAAACAAAATCTACTAGACATAAGGGGCCCAACAATTTCGGATTGGAGTAAAATATTAGATATAAAACAGGGAAATAGTGAATCGTTTGAGAGCTACGCTGAGCGTTTGTGGGTAACATATAGAGAAAATGCTGGCATGGAAAACGCTAGCCGAGATCACGATCCACTGCTACAAATAATAAAAAATAACGCTGGCACCCCTATACAAAGAGCTTTATCAAGCGGTGTAGACCCAGCAGAAAATACTTTCAGATCAATAGTGGACTGGGGCTCGAGAATAGAGAGTAGATGGAAATCAAGACCCAGAGCTGTCGCATCTGCCCAATGGTTAACAGAAGGGAAAGGCGAAAATCGCTCTTACTCGAAACAGACAAAAATACAATGCCATTATTGCAACAGGTTTAACCACCGAGCGAAAGACTGCCGTCGTAAGGAGAAAAGACGTGAAGAAACCCAGGCCCATGAATCATCAGACCCCCATAGTGAAGACTCAGAATTATTAAAACAATTCTCAAACTTCATTGCCGGGTTCAGAAAACAAAATAGCCAAACTAGGACCGAAAGTGCCCGTAACACGAACGAAAGTTATCATTCACCATAGGAAACTGTGGCCTCCATAGCTGTCGGGAATATAGTCAAAAGCGGAAACCGAATCAAGATAAGGGCTAATCTAGGAGGCCGGTTAGCCGACATACTTCTTGATACCGGCGCAACTTGTTCCCTCACAAATATTCCATTACCCCTAACAGATAAAACAATCCAAATACAAGGCATTGACGACACATTAATGATTGCAACATTAACTCAGCCTGTTCAACTCGATTTAGGCGTTACAACACTGAGAGAATCCTTCTGGTTTTCACCAGAAAATAGCGAGGGAACTGTGTTGGGGATGGACATCATGAGAAAACATGGCTTTGTAATTCATTGTTTTGAAAAACAAGTTGAGATACAGACAAACAAAACAACAAAGAAATGTCTACCGAAAAACAAAGCCAGCGTCATGTCCATAACCATCACAGATCCCGTTCAACAACTAATAAACAAACATGAAAGCATTTGGGCTACACATGAACATGATTGCGGTCTTATCGATTACGTAGTACACCTTGAGGGGGAACCACCTCCCCCACAAAAACAATACCGCATCAAGCCAGAGGCAGAGGCAGCCGTTCATGACATTGTAAAACAGCTCGAAGCGAGGGGAATTGTTCGGCGATGCAGTTCAACTACAAACTCTCCATGTCTACCAGTACCGAAACCAAACGGCAAGTGGCGTCTTTGTATTGATTATCAACGTCTAAACAAAGTACTACCTAAAGCCACTGCTATAGTTGCCAACCCGTCGACACTCCTGTCCCAAATTTCAACCAGCGCGTCTTGGTTCACTGCGTTAGACATAAAGAACGGGTTTTGGTCTGTCAAAATTAGACGCGAAGATCAGTGGAAATTGGCATTTACTGTAAATCAGATACAGTACACATGGGAACGGATGCCACAAGGTCTCCATAATAGTCCCGCAATTTTCCACAGAGTGCTCGAAGATGCACTAAATTCATTGACAAGCACAGGAAATGTGATCCATTATGTAGATGACATACTCGTTGCAACAGATGGATCTGTTGATGATCATCTGCAGCTTGTTGACGAAGTATTGGTAACACTCGGCAGGGCCGGCTTCAAGTTGAACAAAGAGAAAGCTCAGATTGCCCAAAAAGAGGTCCAATACATGGGTTATACAATCACACAAAGCCATCGAGCGCTAACAGATGACAGACGCAAATGCATCGCAGAACTGCCCCGTCCACACACGCTGAACGCATTACAAAAAGTTTTGGGAACCGCGAATTATTTGAGAGAATTTATTCCCGATTTCGCAAACATTACTACTCCTCTTTATGCTCTCGTAAAAGGGAAATCAAAACCCTCAGACATAATTGAATGGTCAGAGAGCCATGACAAAACGTTTGAAAAACTGAAACAACATCTATGCTCTGCGCCTGCACTCGGTCTGCCCTGTCCATCAAAGCCCTTTCACTTACAAGTTGACGCGAACGAAAACACACTAAGTGGTGTCCTAGCTCAAGATCATGGGGGGAAACTGCGCCCGATCGCATACTACAGCCGGAAAAAATCCTCCATTGAACAGGGCTTTGACCCATGTACACAGCACGTACTGGCGGTTCACTGGATGCTGACAACAACAGAACCGATCGTGGGTTTTCAGCCTGTTGTCATACATACAATGCACACGCCAGTACAAATGCTGCTACAGGGACGAATAAAAGGCGTATCTTCACAGAGATTAGCAAGATGGCTAGCAGATATACAAGCACGACAGATCACAACAATGAATAGCCGTATTCTGCCACATCTGCTGGGGGATGTGGAGGGTCACCCACACACATGTCAAGTCAGACCAGAGACACAGAGTCCGGTTTATGACCAAAAACTTCCAAATCAGACCCAAGTGTATATTGACGGGTCTAGATATTGGCATGATGGCAATTTTCACACAGGATGTGCTGTATGGACCCCCCACTCTCCTAATGCAGATGCTAGCCAGTTGCTAATCAAGCTAACCGCTAATACATCAGCACAGGAAGCCGAACTCATTGCGCTACTTGAAGCAATCCGAACACACCCAGAACCCATATGCATATACACCGACAGTCGTTATGCATTTGGCGTGGTCCATGACTTCATGGCTCAGTGGCAATTGCGAAAATTCTTAACATCCGCAGGAACGCCGATAAAACACTTTAATATTATAACTGCGATCTGGCACTCCGTTAAAACACACGAGTCTCCAATATCAGTTATTAAAGTGCGCGCTCACATCAGCCGAAACCCAGACGAACACGAACAAAATAACAACATTGTAGACCAATTAGCAAAATTGGCAGCAGTGAAAGGAGACGAATGGCAGCTGGACAACCTAAATGCTCCTGTTGTGAGTGTGATCCGAACTACCCCCCTCGATCTAAAGCAGTATCAGCAAGAGCTATGGCTCACAGAAGGGGAACTCGTTCCACATCTCAAACAGGATCAATTAGTAAATGTCACAGAAGGGATGATTTTGAGAGATGGGAAGTACATCGTTCCAGATGCCCTAAAAAAACCAGTGATAAAACTATACCACGAGTACGCACATGTATCAGCTCCCAAAACACAGCAGCTGATTCAAAAAAATTTCTGGTGGCCAGAAATGACATCAGATATTCAAAGATGGTGCGATACATGCATAGTATGTGCCACCATTAACCAAGGCAGATCAGGGCGCACAAAATTATGCAGACCAGAACCACCCAAAGGGCCCTGGGAATTTTTGCAGTTGGATTTCATTGGCCCACTACCTAGTGCCAAAGGGGGATATCGTTATTGCTTAGTAATAATTGACAAATTCTCAAAATGGGTAGAAGTGATCCCCACACGCAACAACAGTGCAAACACAGTGGCACGAGTGTTAGCGAACCAAATTCTTCCTCTGTGGGGAGCCCCAATTCAAATTGAATCTGATCAAGGAACCCACTTCACTGGTCAGATAATGAAATCCATATGCAAAATGTTAAACATAAAACAAAGATTTCATGTTCCATACAGACCACAAAGCTCGGGAATGGTGGAACGTGTAAATCGTACCATAAAAGAAAACATCTCAAAACAAATTTCACAACACGACAACAAATGGATTGATGCATTGCCCACTGTCCTGACAGTACTGCGGGCAACACCCTCAAAAGCCACAGGCATCAGCCCATTTGAAATCATGACTGGGAGAGTCATGAAAATACCCATTGATCCAGAGATTGCTCCAACAGACATGGGACCTCTCATGGTTGCAACACAACAATCTGTGCTAAAACAGTTGCAAGAAAGATTGGAAGTGCTTTATGCACAAACCACACTGAAACAACAGCAATCAGATTTAAATAATGATGCACAATTCAACCCAAACACTGAAATAAAATTTTCAGAAGGAGACATGGTAATGATACGAGTATTTGTGAAACAAGGTGCTTTCACACCCAGATGGCATGGGCCATATGAGATTAAGGCTGTGTGCAACAGCTGTGTTGCCACCTCAATAAAAGGAAAACTACGATGGTATCACATGTCACAGTGCAAATTATTTAAAGGTACCCAGAACCAGTGAATAACCTATTTCCCTTCTCGCCTTCTAGGTTGACTGCAGCAATACCGTGGAGGCCGGATGAGAGAAAGGTGTCTGGACCAACATGCATCAGACTGGGTCAACGGGTTTCACTCACACACAACCTGAAATGTGGAAGGTGGGTGTGGAAATTTTGCAAGGGGCCATCCACACCAAACATTACAATCACACCAAAAGATGTAATTACATGGCCTCCCGGCTTAGTTCCGGATCTAAATTGCACACCAAAAATTTGCTGTAGTTTAGGTAGCACCCACCCACCGACTGAAAGCATTTCAGGTCACACACTTGCACCCAAATTTTTGCACAACATCACAGCCTGGTATCAACTTAAAATAGACACAGGTGCCATAGCTGGAGAAATGAACATCCTCCACCATGATAAAAACAACGGGACAGACCCAAAACTATGCTATTTCATTAAAGATTTGGAACCTGCAACTTATAGATGCACACACACAGAGTCATACAACGACACACACATGCATCTCACCGAAACTCACTATAACCTCACATCATACACACCTAGCGAACAAAAACCGGAAACCTTCGTATGGACAAGCAGAAAAGAAGGAACGTACTGTGTGGGGAAATGTTCCCCAGATATGGAAAAATTCACAAATCCACAAAATTGCTCATGGACTCTGATCTATTGCTTCAAAATAACAACTTGCGGATATACAAAACCGAAAGTATGTCCAAAACTATACCCAACACCACCTGGCGGATTGATTAAGGGAAATGTAAATAAGACTCTTTTGCATGATGTGAATTTGGTAATGACGCATATAACATACAATATTTCCAATATACTGTCTGCCTACTCTAAGCATTGTAATGTTGATGATGAATCATATGCATGGCTACAGTCACGAATCGATGATTTAATTTCTGATTATAAGAACAGACTTGCTGTCCAAATTCCACCTGTTCGCTCAAAACGTGACCTGCTCGGAAATATAGCAGGCCTATTTGGTTCGGCTAATTCATTAACTAACACATACAAGATTTCTAAACAATCTCAATTTTCCACATGGTTGACAGACCAGATGGCCACTGGTTTTCAACACATCACCAATAGTAATGACAACCTAATCAAAGCGGTCAGATCTGAGGCGCAGGCGCTTCTGATGATCAGCCACACATTGTTCAATCAGACCCGTACCATCGAACGTGACTTAGCCTGCAGAACATTTGCACAAGATTTATTTGCTACAACCAGACAAGAAATTCTGGACCTCCGTCTCCATAAAACACCTAGACATGTTTTAAGTGACTTGATTGAAATCTTAGATTTAGATAGATGGCTTTTATCAGAGAAAATGAAAAATGTAAAATATTCTGAATTATTAGCTACTGTCATGATGTATACTGGAGAAGAATGTGTTGGATGCCTTGGGTTTTTTGCCACCTTTCCTTTAATACACCCAGACCAAGTTTATTTAAACTCAACTACCATTCGTTCAATTGGTACTATAATTAAGAACCAGGTCATTAAATGGGACCACCTTACCGGATACATGACCTCTAAGGGCTCTGAGACCTTGTTTACCAGCCGCACCTGTTGCCATGAAACCCACAATTACATTGTCTGTACATGTAATACCTTACAACCTTTTTCCTCCAATGACAGCAGACTTATTAATGTTCAGTCTTTACATGGGTATGCCGATGCAATTCAGGTTTCTCATACACAATGGTGTGTCGTCAGCGAGATGAACTCTTTCACCTATGGAGGACTAACCTGTCCTGCCAACCATTCGTTCTGTTTGGAAATCACAGAGGACTTTTCGATGGGTCAAATCAACATCCTTGGAAGGATGCCACTAGATGCAGAAGTCTCCCCATGGTGGGACGACACTTTCTACGAACGAGGAACACGGACACTGGTTGACACCATGAATCTGGTGGAAAGAACCATCTCAGAGACTGAATATCATCTTTTCCAAGCACAGGTAGAGACAAACCTGGCCCGAAAGACTGCAACAATCCTGTCCAGCTCGTCTACGCGCTCAGCACTGAATGCCTACACATGGTGGGACTGGATACTTCGGAGCTGTGCCATTGGCAGTGCACTCATCTTTATGTTCACACTGTTCCAATGCTGTTATTTCAGATGTCTCATCAGATCGTTAAGGACGTCAACGAACATTGCTCTGACACTCAGCCCATTACAGGTGCCAAAGCTTCAAGAACTCTGATGACCCCGCAGGATAAAATAGCCCACGGGGCCAAAGGGGGAAAACTGTAAGACTGGTATCAGGAATGATTATTTACGACATCTGTGTTTTAATGAGAACAGCTACCTGATAAGCATCAAAGAGCTCACATCTGTCGCTCTCAGTGTGAGAGCGAAACTTCCCCCGGACACGTATCTCCTGTTATACCCTCTCCCCTTTTGTCTCTGTTTACCTAATGCATTGAAGGTTCCAGCGTGTCTGATAAAGAAGGTCTCACCCCTTTAGATATTGAAACATTTGCCCTCGGTCCGGTAATAAAATTATAATCAGGCCCCTCAAGCAAAACATCCCCTCACCAAGAACAAAGAAACACACAAATGGTAATACCACAGAAACCCCAACCGAAACTTCTTCCCATGAAAATGTCCTGCAGAGAGATGGCCAAATGTAAATATCAAAGAAACACCCTGAGGTGCAAAGATGGGTACTTAAGGGAAGGTGGCAGAGAAGTCGGGGAATCTGTATCCAGATCTCCCGCACAATTGCTGTGTGTAGTCTTTTTCATCTTCAGGTAAACTTCTAAACTTTCATTTATATACTTTGAATTGGCTAAACGTTTCACTAATGTAATTTTGATTGATTGATGCTACATAATGAATTGATTAATGTTTTGATTGTTTGAATTGATCTTTGAATTATCCTGTTTACCTGATTAATAAATTGTTATGTTTTGAATGATTCAAACAGAGTTCGTGTTATTATCTTTAGTAGATTGAGGTAATTTCATAGCACCACAAGCCCCTGTTCAGGTTAGTAGCGGACTAGAACACGGTAGACGGAGCATTGCGGCACGTTACACGATGTCTCTAGAGCTCCGACTAACAAATTGGCATTTATTCATGTATACTTAGGCTGTAAAAGGATATCTAAGGGGATAGTCCTTCACCCGATAAACTTTTAATACTATTTAGATAGTATAGTGATTATTCAAAGTTACTACTAGTTTAAGTACGACTGGTCTGCTTAATTCTATAGTAATGATCGTTATATGACTAAATAGCTCTGTCTGATTTAGGAGGTAGCAGACCTATGGGGACCGCATAAAAAATATCCTAATCTGAGTAAGTAGGGTTCTGCCTTTTTAGGATAGCGGTCAATCGCCCCTGTTTAGTGACCAAGACTGACATGCTTGTGCTTAAGAAATTGTATACTCGGCCGGTACAAGATTCAGGATGTTATAGAGATCCCAATGAACGAGAATAACATAAAATGATGAACCGAAGAGAATATTCAATCATAATCTAAATTAATGTGAACGGAAACAAAATAACCTTCTCAATGTTTTATTATTGGAGTCAGATAAAACGAAAGATATACTCATATCAAACTTATATATATATATTTAACTCAATACTATTTGTGCTTAAAAGAAGACAGTGACGCGCAAGAATCCTTCTGCCGTCTGATTGGCTGCCGCCGTTGGACCAAACAGGCGGACCCTACAAATCATAGCAGAAACTAGTTAATTCATTCATTCATTTTTTTTCAGCTTACTGTAGTCCCTTTTTTCATTACGGGTCACCACAGCGGAATGAACCGCCAACTTATCCAGCATGTTTTTTATGCAACGCATGCCCTTCCAGCTACAACCCATCACTGGGAAACATCCATATACTCTCATTCACACACATACACTACGGCCAATTTAGCTTACTCGATTCACCTATACCGCTTGTCTTGTGGGGGAAACCTGGAGCATCCGGAGGAAACCCACGAACAGAAACACGAGGAGAACATGCAAACTCCACACAGAAATGCCAAATGATCCAACTGAGGCTCAAATCAGCAATTTTCTGTATTTGAGAGACATCGCTAGCCACTGCATGACAGCGCCACCCCTAGAAACTAGATCATTTGTAAGGCTTAGTTGAAAACTAAAAAGCATATAGCAAGAAACCATATGAACACTGTTTCAAGAGTTCAGACTTAGATATTGCTTTATGTTGTAAGCAAGTTTGGCATGCTGTCCCGGGGGAGAACCCTGATCTCGAAGATTAATTGAGCCCAGGTTTCCCACCTGGTCAATAGAGCATGTAAGGGGAGTACGAGATCAGGTGGTTCTCGAGAGCTCCTCGTGGCAAAAGAGGAAAGATAGCAATGGTTGTGTATAAAAATGAAAAGATCCTGCAAAAGTGATTTTTTTAATGTAACTTTAGTTACAACAAGGTAGCGCAGTGAGAAGCACTGTCACCTCAAAGCCATAAGGTCACTGGTTCGAGTCCCGGCTTGGCCTGTTGGCATTTCTGTGTCCCTATGTTCGTGTGGGTTTTCCTCTGGTGCTCCGGTTTCCCTCATAGTCTAAAGACATGCGGTACAGGTAAATTGAATAAACTAAACTTGGCATAGAGGATGTGCAGGAATGAGGATGTATGGGTGTTTCACAGTGCTGACTTGCAGCTGGAAGGGCATCCACTGTGTAAAACAAATGCTGGTTGAGTTGGTGGTTTATTCCACTGGCGTAAACCCTGATGAATAAAGGGACTAAGCCAAAGGAAAATAAATGAATGAATGAAAGTATCTTGAGTCATGAGAGGAAATGTTTCAATGTCGATCTTATCTATTAGTAAATACATTTTGAATATAGTGGGAGTAACAATAAATTGTTCTGTTACATGAATATCATCAGCCTAAAATAATTTTATTTTATAATCAAGAGCGACAAAAACATTTCAAGAATAATTAATTGAAATTCCTAAAGCAATTTTACAGGAGTAATAACTGTATGCTCAAGGGTTAAGGAGAGACATATTAGAAGTGATAAGTCTGTCTGTGCCAGTGTTACTGTGAAAGGACATGGTGAAGTGCCAGTGGCAGGAACAGAATGAATGGACACCCTGCACTTTATTTAGTTCCTCTGTTCACAACATCAAGCGTTGTCAGCTCTGATTTCCTCCCCAAGATACCAGCAGCTAGAAAACAGCCAGTGAATCACCAGCAAGGACAGAATGTACAGTCGTCAGCATTAATGCCTGCTGGACCTGCTTTTAGCATGATGTTCAAACAAAATCTGTTCGCATTGAGCTGTCGTGTCAGTAGGCGATGTAGACATATGTTGCGAAGCCATGATTTGTCTGCTACAAATTACTTCAAGACAGTTTCGAAAGACACAAGCTGCGGCGTGCATGGCAGGATTTGGAACAATATATAGCTTCAAAAACTAACACTGGCAAACTGTCAATCGAGGGGGGAAAAACACTCTAGCACCTCCACTTTAAGAAACATCAAGCACCAGCCCTGACACCCTATTATTCTGAAAATAGAGCATTTGCTTTCAAGATTTGTTCTAATTAGTCATACCGAGTTTGATTATTTTCGTTGCAACTTCGTGTAACAATTTACCACTCTCACCAGTCCCTTTTTCCATTTCACTTCAAATTAGATGGACTCTAATAACAAGTTGTAATTTGTAATGCAGCATCTAAAACACTCAAACAAGTGCTATTTAGACTACTGTGTAATTTGAGACAATGGTGTAGATTCAGTGCACATAATTACTAAACTACTTTCTCAGGATATGACTGTAACCAAGGTTCCCTGAGAAGAGGAGCAAGACACTGTCTTTTGAAGTTATGGGATGCTCTTTGTGAAATTTATTTCTAAACTAATTTCAAGAGGTTCACATGCTTATGATTGTCCACAGCTGGTCCTGCATTATCAAAGCAGGATTCACCAGTTGGATGATTTCTAACTCACTATAAATAATCAGTTTCTTACTTTTGTTATTTTCAACTTAAAGTATACCCCTTCTACCCTCACACCTACCTCCTTTCCTTGACAGGGCCGCAGGGCAGCCCAGTTGTTAGCACTGTTGGCCTCACAGCATTAATGGCATTGGTTCAAATTCTTACTTGGCCAGTTGATGTTTCTCCGCAGAGTTTACATGTTCTCCCCGTGCTCATGTGGGTTTCCCCCGGGTTCTCCTGTTTACTCCAACATTTCAAAGAAATGTGACATAGGTGAATTGACCAAACCAAATTGGCACCATTGATGAGCTCTTAATGAGCAATTCTTAATTGCCTTTACCCACAATTAAGTGGGACAGTTCTCAAGACTTAACTGAGCTTAAACTCTCTCCCTCTCTCGCCTTACAAATGGGAGGGAGCCCTGGGCTCGAGGATCTTATGAGCTCAGGGCTCTCTCCCGGGACAGCACGCCAAACACGCTTTATAATCAATCATCAAGCTAAGTGTTGATCATCGGCTAACTATTGAAACTGTCACTGTTGTTTGAAGAACATGAGTCAAATGGTGCATTTCTACTAGTCAACAACAGTTCAGTGTCATTACCAATGCTTAGAGCACTTACCAAGGCTTACCTAGTTCAGTACATTGTGAAACTTTCCAGATCCCATAACCTTCGCTCTAACTTCACTTCCTGTCAATATATATATATATATATATATATATATATATATATATATATATATATATATATATATATATATATATATATATATATATATATATATATATATATATTGTCATATCACAATAAAGGCAAAAATGCAAAAAAACAAACATAAAAACAATTAAACAGTTTAAACAAGGAACAACTTTTTTTTTTTTTTTTTGCTTCCGCAGTTCTTCGGATGGTTAATCTCATCTGGTTGCGCTTCCAGTCTTTAGACTGTTGTGGGCCAGGCTCCCCAGAGGCTTTAGACTGTTATTTGGATTGGGGTGATAAATACTTCTTGAAGACTGCTAAGTACATCTTTACCTCCCTTGACCTTTCAACCCCTGCCTCGACAGATATGCTAGAAAGCTTAAAGGGTGAAACCAATGCATCAAAGACATTTTGTTTCGCTGCAATATCAGCGAGGTTCATTTACCATTGCTTGACTAGTGACAGACTCAATAATAATTTGACGGTACCGCAAGCTGATTCTTATCACTCGCATTTCCAAGGCAGGTATAGTCTGTCCTAGGGCTGGCCAATTTATCTAATGTTATTTTCATGCACATTGTGTAAATAAAAGCCGATTCTACACTGTAAAAATTGCATAGTTCCACACAATTCATTCATGTTGTCCCAACACAAATCGATTTAATTAACTTAACACTTTTAACAAATTTATATCGATTGAACATAAAGAATTATGTTGTCCCAATGAAATCTCAAGAATTGTGTTTTTTCAGCTCATTTTAATTAAGTAGTTTGAACAAGTAAAAATATTTTGAGTGTAGTAAACCTCAGAATTTACTACAAAGAAGCTCAATTTAATTTGATTTAATCAGTCAATGAAATTGACAATCATTCTACAATAATAATAGCCACTAGTTCTCAGTGAACTATGGCTTGGTGTACTATATGCTGCTCATAAAACGACCAAATATAATAACATGGTTTTGCTACAAACTCACCTCATAACTTCAGTCGAGTGATTGAAATAAATCCTTCTGTGAGGTACTTTGGTAGTTGTCTTTATTAGTCATATGCTGCATCAATAAAAGCAGTCAAATATGCTGTTTATTCAGTAACTGTTACGAATTTCCTTGGTGACTAATTAGAGGGGTTTGTGGGTTTCAGTGAGAGTGCCCTCTAGTCTTTGGAGAAGATTTACTACTGTTCAAACCATGCTTCCACGACAAGATGTTCATGACAAATCACAACTTTGCTCAATTGCGTTTTCAATTTTTACTTAATTAATCACCCTGCTTTAGTATGTCTAACAGTTCCTCTTTTGC